TATAACTGTCAAAATCCATTTTATTGTCCCCAAAACTTCCCCTTAATTTCAGCCTGTGACTGAAAACACATGATATCACCCAAAATTCAAAGCAGAAAGTCACAGCAGGGTTAAGTTGACTGGTCAAATTGGGAGAATCCATGATTTTTCTGTGTGGAGCCCTGGAGTCAGCGGGTTTCCCCTCTCGGCCAGGCTTATTCATAGCAGACATTTATTTGGAGCTATTGTAATTGATGCTTTAAAATGCTTTAAAAGCATTTCTGTCTCCTGTAACCGGTTGCTAGTGTGTGAAAATACAGTGAACTCTTATGCACTGGTCTTATTTCCCACAGCTCTGCTAAACTTACTTGTGCCTGGACTTTCTTCCTCAAATGGATTCCTTGGGAATTTGCTGTGCAAGCTGTTATCCTATCTGAAAGCAGACTTTCTTGCCTTTGCCTTGATCAGCATTCGGTTTTGACCACCTGCACAGGTGACAGGCCTGTGTCAGGAGCTTACCTCTCCCCTCACCCAGCCTCAGTGGCCGGCTGCAGCTCACACACATGCTCCTGTCAAGGGCCTTGCAACAAGAACCCTACTTAGAGTGGAATCAGGTGCAGACCAAGCCCTTTGAGTTAGTGATGGCGGCTGACAGAGTAGAACTGCACCCTCAGGCTCCTGAGGCTATGAACCCTCAGCCTTTCATCTCCTAGATTTCCCCATCAGTCCAGGTTGTCTGACGCTGTCTAGTCTAGGGAGGACGTCTGTGCTGACCTCCTGAGCCCTGTTCTTCTGACCGGAACCCCCGCTGCCGTTGGCGGGTGCTGTGTCTGTTCCTGTGGGCTGGTTCGCCTCTGGTCCTTTTTGTCCAGGTGCTCTGCCCCTGCCGTCCACAAGGGAGTGACCTTTGCCTGGCTGCCTGGCTACCTGGGCTACACCCAGGTCCTGGGGTCCCTGCAGTAGCCCCAGCCTACTTGCTGTGTCCAGCTCCTCCTCATGGCACATATAGCCAGTGTCTTGCATGTTGGCCAGGTGACCAGAGGCAGTGCTTTTTCTTTTTTGTCAGCTGTAAGCTTGCTTCTTTCTCACCCGCAGTGTAGTTTTAGCATATTGAGATTTGTAGTAGCTTTTATCCTGTCCAAGCTTGTTTGTCCAGGAGTCCTAGTAGCATAGTGGTTATGTGTTGGGCTTCTAACTCCAAGGTCAGCAGTTAGAAACCACCCACTGCTCTGTGGGTGAAAGATGAAGCTTTCACCTGCCGTAAAGAGTTACAGCCTGGGAAACGCACAGGACAGCTCTACCCTGCCGTCGAGTCAGCATTGCGTCTCTGTGAGTCAGCATTGGCCTGATGGCACTGGGTTTGGAGGCTTTTATGACAGTCAGATTTTACCCCTTGAGGTCACCTCCCCCTCTGTGCTGCAGAGCGCGAGCCAGCCTGTGTCAAGGAGGGAGCCCACTTTGAGCCCCTCCTCCCATCCCAGTGGACTGTCCTTGCTGCACCAGAGGGAGCAGACAGGAGGACTATGCCTGTCACCTGGGCCACATGCAGGGACAAGTCAGTGGCCCCAGAGGGTGACTCAGGATCCTGAGAGACAGGAAGACAACAGGAACAGAGAGCCGGGGGAAGGCGGACATGCAGGGGAAGGAGAGGAAAGAAGAAGTGTAGGGGTACCAGGACGGGGAGCCCTACAGGTGCTGTGGGTTCAGTGCTGGGCTGCTAAATACAAGTGTGAATTCAGCAGTTTGAATCCACCAGTTGCGCTCTAGGAAAAAGATGAGGCTGTCTGCTCTCAGTAAGAATGACGGCGTACGGCATGGAGTAGGGAACCAGTGGAGAGGTCTGAGGGGCTGCCCCAATCCCAACTGCGTGGACACCTGCTCCTCCCCCCAGAAGAATTTATTTCAGAGTACAACACTGAACCTGCAGCTCCGGGAGAGGGACGTGTCTGATCAGAGCACAGGGAGCAAATGAAGGGGGAGGAAGAGAGTGGAGCACATCCTGGCCCACCAAGCCTTGAGGACAATATTCCCGCTCAGAGCAGCCAGTCCACAGGGAGGACCACATGGCGGCCCCACTATGAGACATGACATCCCTCACTGACCCAAAGCCCTGCAGGGGACAACACTGGAGACACAGTGTCAGAGTTGCACTTGATCTGATCCCACCACACCGAGGCAAAGCACTAAGGGCGTGGAACAGAACAGCAAGGGGAACAGAGCAAGAAGTCCCCAGGGAATACCAAAAATAGACTTTGGGACCAGGGCTTGGTGCCCCAACAGACTCGACTGGAAAACCCACCTAAAGGCCAACAAACAGTCCTTGGACTAACTACAAGCTCTTCTTTCTTGTTGTATTTTGTTTTGTTTTTTGTCATTGGCTTGTTATTGTTGTTTTGTTTTATTTTTCTCTGTCTTGTTTTTGTGCGTGATATTATCTCTGCAGGTCTGTCTAAATAAGATAGGCTGGATGAACAATCTGGAGGAGAAAACAACGGGACCGACAGCTCCAGGGCGACATGGGAGAAGGGGAGGTGGGGGGGAAAGGAAGTGGTGTTAACAAACCCAGGGACAAGGGAACAACAAGTGATCCAAATCGGTGGTGAGGAGGGTGTAGGAGGCCTGGTAGGGCGTGACCAAGGGTAATGTAACCGAGAGGAATTACTGAAACCCAAATGAAGGCTGAGCATGATAGTGGGACAAGAGGAGTGTCAAAGGAAATAGAGGAAAGAGCTAAGGAGGTAAAGGGCATTTATAGAGGTCTAAATACAGGCATGTACACATGTAAATATATTTATATATGAGGATGTGGAAATAGATCTATGTGCATATATTTATAGGTATAGTATTAAGGTATTGGGTCTCCACTCAAGTACTCCCTCAATGCAAGGATATTTTGTTCTATTAAACTGGCATTCCTTGACGCCCACCTTCCCAACACAATCGCTGAAGACAAAGCGGGTGCATAAGCAAATGTGGTGAAGAAAGCTGATGGTACCCAATTATCAAAGGATATAGCGTCTGGGGTCTTAAAGGCTTGGAGGTAAACAAGTGGCCATCTAGCTCAGAAGCAACAAAGCCCACATGGAAGAAGCACACCAGCCTGCTTACGAGGTGCTAAAGGGATCAGTTATCAGGCATCATCAGAACAAAAAATCATATCATTGTGAATGAGAGGCAGTGTTGGGTAGAGACCCGAAGCCCATCTGTAGGCAACTGTACATCCCCTTACGGAAGGGTCATGCAGAGGAGATGAGCCAGTCAGGGTGTGATGTAGCAACGATGAAGCATACAACTTTGCTCTAGTTCCTAAATGCTTCCGCCCCACCCACTATCATGATCCCAATTCTACCTTTACAAATAAGGCTAGATCGGGAGCGGGTAGGGAGGGGAAAAATGAGGACCTAATGCGGGGGGCTTAAGTGGAGAGGAAATGTTTTGAGAATGATGAGGGCAATGAATGTACAAATGTGCTTTACACAATTGATGTATGTATGGATTGTGGTAAGAGTTGTATGAGCCCCTAATAAAGTGATTTTTTAAAAAATGACGACTTAGGAAACCCACAGGGGAGTTCTGCTCTGCCCGTAGCCTCACCAGGAGTTGGAATGGCCGCCATGGTGCGGCACCAGCTCACTGTGTGTACCAAGTGGGAGCGTGTACTGCAGAGCCCTGCCTGCCTGTGAGCACACTCCCTGCGGCCCTGCCCTCCAAAGCCCCGGCCCGCCCTGTGTGGTACCCCAGTCCCCCGTGTGAGCTGGCAGAAGGGGCCTGCTAGAGGAAGCCGGCTGGAAAACCCCTGGTTCTAGAAAGTGGGTGTGTTCCGCTCTTGACCAGTGGCCTTTTTCTAGTCAGTAGTGAGTGTCCCTTTTGCTTGCAGCAATAGGTTGATTTTGTTTCTTTCTTAAAATTAAATGGTGAGGGAGGGTTGCACGCCCTGGACCAGGAGCAAAGCAGGTGCCCTCTGCCTTACCTCTATGTAGAGCCCGTTCAAGGATGAGTGTGCTAAAGCTCCCATACTCACTGCCACGCCGGACCTGGCTGGTGGGCAGGGACTGGGCTTCACTCATGCCTTTCCTAGTTGTCTGGTGGGTTTGGGTGCTTTGGGTGCTGCTGCACTGACTGAAGGGGTCCTGCCTGCCCTGCATCTGTCTGTGTTGCTGACCACAAGTTCCCAGGCCTCTGAGCTCTGCCTTTCTGGGCACCTGTGCTTCGATATCCTCTCATTTGGGGTGTGGTAGATCCCTTCACTGTGGTGGGGTGTTCAGGACCTTGTGTGAGATCATGGTTCAAGAATGAGCTTTACACGCCAGGCAAACAGTAACCTGATTACAGGGATGGTGGGCATGCAGGAGCCCTGGGGAGGGGATGGTGGGCCTGCAGTAGCCCAGGTGGAACATTGGCTCAGAGCTCATCTGCTAATAGGAAGGGTGGCAGTTTGAACCCACCATGAGAGAACAGTGTGGCAGTTGTCTCCATGAAGGTGCCACCCTGGAAACTCTGTGGGTTGCTAGGAGTCATATTCAGCTGGGTTTAGGGCTTGGGCTTGCAGAAGCCTCCACCCTCGAGGCCTGCAGAGGAGAGCACAGAGGCTGGTGTTGATGGGACAGAGTGCCTGCATAGGTGCCCAGCAGATCTGGCCAGTCTGCCCCTCTCTGCAGTGATCACCAGGGCTAGAGATGCATTGGCCACCTATGGGCTGGCTAACTGCAGGGGCCAGCATTCAGGAAGGGGTGGACAGACCAAGGCTGCGGCTCCTCTGGGGACGTTGGAAGCAGAATGCATGCATACCCTGAGCGGTATGAGGGCAGCCACTCAGTGTGCATTTAGCGGGCTCAGAGAGCAGGCAGTCCACTGCCACTGGCTCCAGGTTAGAGCCAGGACCCTACTGGCTGGGCAGAGGGAGAGGCGCTTCACCCCATGAAGAACCTGTTGTCTCCTCACTCCCGGAACCCTGGCTGCAGCAGAGGACCAGGGGCTGCACAGTCCCTCCCTCCACAGCTGGGCCTTACCTTTATTTTGTGTCTCCAGGTGCTGGCAAAACTCCGACCTTGGGCAGCGGCTTCCATGTGAACCTGGGGAAGGAGTCCAGAGCACAGACCCTGCAAAATGGTATTTCCCCGAGATGCCTCTGAGGGGGTGGGTTCCAGGAGGTGGGGCTGGGGCTGAGGGGGAAGGAGGAGGGCTGCCCTTTCCCAAGCCTGTCCCACCCCCGCCCAACTACCCTCTGGGGGACTGCTTCCCTTCACTGGCAGCCTCATTGCCTGGTCAACTCCTTGTCACCTCTGTGCAGACCTATCCCTTGAGTCCTCTCTTTCAGCTGTCCATCTGAGTGTGCTTCAAAGACTCTACCACGCCTGCTCAGTGTAGTCCCTGGGGCCCTCTGCCCCATACTCCTTACTGGTTCGGGTGAAGTAGAAAGAACAGATTCACAGCAGTAGGGCTTTGTCGCCGCACTTAGCTGTGTCCCCTGAAAGTGTCTATGACAAGTGGGGACTTGTCCTTTGGCCATCTGAAGCCGGGTCTCTTCTCCCCGATTGGCAGTCCCTGGGTAAGACACGTACGTACGTTGTGTTCACTTTCTTGATGATCGTGTCTTGGGAAGCACAGATTTTCCATTTTCCTGATGTGCAGTTTGCCTCTTTTTCTTTCCTTGAATGGGGAAAAGATTTACGCTTAAGACTTTTCTGAACATTTTCGCTCTTTTAGGTCCTTGATTATCATTGTCAATGGTGTGCGGTAGGGGTCTCATTTTAGTCTTTCACACGTCGATACCCAGTTTTCCTAGCCTCGTTTGTTGGAGCGACTCTTCTTTCCCCATTTAAACTTGAAGGTTAACTTATAGATTCTCAGTTCTGGTCCATTGAAGTGAGAGTCCCTTTTGCTGGTACTATCCTTTCTTGTTATGACTGAAGATTTTTTTGTTAATTTTGAAACCAAGCAATGTAAGTTCTCTAACATAGTTCTTTTCAAAGGTTGGTGTGACTATCCTGAGTCCACTGAATCTCCACATACATATTTGGATCAGCTGGTTGATTTTTGCAAAGAAGTCAGCTGGGATTTTGATAGAAATTGCATCAGATGCATAGGCCAATTTGGGGAGTATTGCCATATTAGCAATGTTAAGTAGTCAGGTCTACGAACATGGGCTGCCTTTCCATTTATTTAGGTCTTTAATTCCTCCTCACATTGCTGTGCAGTTGCAAAGTGTACGTTCTGCTTTGGGCACTTTTGTAAATGGGTTGTCTTCATTTCCTTTTCTGATTGGTCACTGCTTGGGCTTAGAAATAGCTGATTGTTCATGTTGCTCTTGAACGTTGCTCTGCGACGTTGCCGTACTCGTGTGTGAGTCGTTGTTCGGTTCCTTTGGGTTTTCTGCAGACATAAGCATATCATCTGCGAAGGAAATACTTTGACTCGCATTGACATCTTGGATTCCTTTAGCGCTTGTGGTCCCCAGGACCATCCCTAAGTGCAGTGGGGTGCTAGGAGGGTGCAGGGCTGGGCATCTGCCCTTCTGGTTGCTGATGATTACTGCAGGAGTGGCAGTGGGGACCGGTGTGTGGAGTGAGGTCCTGAGGACATAGGCACACGCTTCACTGAGGAAGGCTTGGCGGAGCCTTCATTCCCAGGGCACTTGCGGGAGGGGAGGCTGGGGCGCTGGCCATGGAGGTGTCCTGACCAGCTACTCCCAGGAGGAAAGCAGGCATTTTGCATCAAGAGTCTTGATTGAACAAGCAGCTCAGGTAGAGCCTGCACTCTTAGCAGCCCTGGGAACACTGGAGTGGTCCTGAAATTCATGTGCCTATGTCAGCTGTGTGGCCAGGCTTCCCTGAGGGGCAGCAGTCAGGCCTGCTAGGTCATCTCTTGTCTACACGCCACTGATCGTGTTTCCTGGTGTAACTACCCAGCTGGGACTTCTGGACAGAGACTGAGTGAAGTGACCAGAATGGGAGTCCAGCTTTCCACAGGTTCCAGGCACCTCTGCCACATTGCAGATGTGCCCTGCTCTTTCTAACTTGAGTATTTTCATCATGTGCAGTTTTGCCAAGTACCTTTTGTATGTCTGTTGAGATGGTCATGTGATTTTGTATCACTTGTTCTGTTGATAGGTTGTAGTTCAGTCATTGAATAAAGTCAATTTGGTCATGGCATAGAATACTTTTTATATCAGGGGCTCCCAAAAGTTGATGGGAAAAATTCCATTAACTTTTTTTTTTTTTAATCATTTTATTAGGGGCTCATACAACTCTTATCACAATCCATGCATACATCAATTGTGTGAAGCGCTTTGGTACATTCATTGCCCTCATTGTTCCATTATCTTTTAATTACATTTTCTCACCAACATTTTGAAGCCTCATATAAATGACAAGATTCCGCTGGGCAGAACTTTGTTGAACAATTTTTATGTTTATGTTCAAGAGAGACACTGGTTTGCGGTGTTCTGGGCTTGTCATGTGCATGCGTGCCTGCCGGGCAGAGTAACGCTGAACTCATAGTATGAGTTAGGAACTGTATTTTGGGGGAAGCATTTGTGAAGAATTGGCATTTTTTTCTCCTTTACACATTGGGTAGAACACCTGAGGGGAATCAACTAGGCCTGGACTTTCCTTTGTAGGTAGTGTTTCCATTACAACGTCCATCTCCCTATTGTTATAGATCTACATGGCTCTTGTGAGTTTTTGTTTTTTGATATTTGTGTTTTATGAAATTGGTCCATTTCATCTAGTTACTAATTTGTTATCTGTAATTGTCTACAGTGTGCCTTGATGCCAAACTCAACTGCCGTCATGTCCAGTTAGTGCTTTTGTGTTGAGTTGCTAACCAAAAAGCCAGCAGTTTGAAACCACCAGCCACTCCTCTGTAGAAAGGTGGGACTTTCTACTGCCGTAAGAGGTACAGTCTTGGCAACCCTCAGGAGCAGTTCGACCCTGTCCTGTAGGGCCTCTGTGGCCTGGCATCGACTTGATGGCATCTAGTCTCCGAGGCCCACAGGGGCAGTGCGCTTGGTCTGCGGCCTGCTGGCTGGGGCTGTGCTTTCCTCTTTTTGCTCCTTCAGGTGTTCGCTGGGACTGCTGGTTTGAGCTTCCTGAATGTCGGGATTCACAGTTGCCACATTCCCTCTGACAGTATCTTCCTTTCAGCATTTTAACTAGATCATTCCGCAGTGTTCAGGCCTCCGTGGTTTCTGGTGAGAAAGCAGTGGCTTCTCTTGGTGAGTGCTCCGAGAATGTGGAAGCTGCTTTGTGTCTTCTTACGGCTTTCAGGACTCTCTCTGTCGTTTGATTCTGGTGTTTCTGTGTGTGGTTCTCTTAGATCATCCTGCTGGCAGTTCCTCACACTGTTAAAAGTGGAACATCACAAGAGGGTGGCTTTCCCAGCTCATCTCCAAGAGTTAGGAGGCTTTTAAACCCAGATTCAGGGCACCTCTCTAGGGGCGGCTTCCTTGCTTTATCTGACACTTACGGCCTGGTGTCTTAGCGGTCTCTGTGTGTCTTAACATTCATCTTGATTGGGGTCCAGGAGTTCTCCGTGCAGGACCTCGGGTCTCAGGGAGGCACGCTGCACCTGGCTCTTCTATCTTGGTGTTAGTAAGCCCTTCTCTGCTTGCTTCTCTCTCCTTTTTCATTCAGGTAAAAAGACAACATCCCTTCAACTTGTATGTCAAGTTGTTGTACTGTGGTGGCTTGTGTGTGACTGATGCTAGAAGTTATGCCACTGGTATTTCAAATGCCAGCAGGGTCACCCAAAGTGAACAGGGTTCGCCTGAGCTTCCAGCCTAAGAAAAGACTCAGAAAAAGGAATAGTCTGCTTACTTTGGAGGGATTGACCCTGAAAACCTCATGCGTAGCAGCAGAACATTGTCAGAGATGTTAGTGTCAGACTATTAAATTAGTGCCTACGGTGGGTCACACTGGGGATGGGGAAGAGCTGCTGCCTCAAAGTGGAGTCGATGATGTGGACGGATGAAAACCTGTGTGAGCAAAATGCGAAAGGAGTAAAAACAGCTGCAAACATCACTTGGTAACTGGAACTTGGAATGTATGAAGTGTGAATCTAGGAAAATTGGAAGTCATCGAAAATGAAATGACATTGGCCATCTGGAATCAGGCAGTCCGATGGCTTACCAGGCTGGGAATGACAGAGTTAATAGGAATTACACCCTATTCATCATAAAGAAGGACATTTGCACGATCTCTCGTGAAACACAGCGTTGTCTGTGATAGGATCATATGTGTCCTCATACAAGGGAATCCGGTCAGTACAACCATTTTCAAATGCACCAGTTACTAAAACTAATGACGCAGACCTTGAGGAATTCTACCAACGTCTTCAGTTTGAAATTGAGTATACATGCAATCAAGATGCTTTGATAATTGTTGGTGATTGTAATGCCAAAGTTTGGGGAATGGGGAACAGCAGTTGGAAAATACGTTCTTGGGTGATAGAAATTAAGCTAGAGATTGGATGACAGAATTTTGCAAGACTAACAACTTCTTCATCACAAACACCTGTTTTCAGCAACCACAAGGTGCCGACCATACACATGGACTTCTCCATGTGAGACACACAGAAATCAAGTTGACTACATCTGTGGAAAGAGACAAAGGAGAAGCTCAATATTAGCAGCTAAAACCAGGCCAGGTGCTGACCGCGCAACCAGACCATGAATTACCCATATGTAAGTGCAGGTTGAAGCCGAAGAAAATTAAAGCAAGTCCATGAGAGCCAAACTACAACTTTGAATATATACCTGAATTCTGAGAACATCTCACAAACAGCTTTGATGCATAAACACGTATGAGTGGTGACATGATGAGCTGTAGGATGACCTCGCGAACGTCATACATATAGAAAGCAAAAGGCCATTAAAAAGACGAGAGAGAGAGAAAAGTTCAAAGTGGATGTCTGAAGAGATTGAAATTTGCACTTAACTGGAGATTGGCGAAGGCAAATGGGAGAAATACGTCAAAGAGCTGAACAGAAAATTTCAGAGGGAAGCTTGAGAAGATAAAGTAAAATATTATAGTGAAATGTGCAAAGACCTGGAGTCAGAAAACCAAGAAGGAAGAGCATACGCAGCACATCTTAAACTGAAAGAACTGAAGAAAAACGTTCAAGACTAGAGTTGAATTATTGAAGGGTTCCCTAAAACTACTGAATGATGCGAGAAGCATCAAAATAAGATGGAAAGAATACAGTCACTGTATGAGAGAACAAGTTGACAGTCCACCATCTCAAAAGTTAGCATTTGAGCAAGAACCAGTGGTTCTGAAGGAAGAAGTTCAAGCTGCAATGAAAACAGCCTAAAACAGGGCTCCAGGAATGGATGGAACACCCACTGAAATGTTTCACAAGTTGAAGAAGCACTGGAAGCACTCACTGGTCTATGGTAGGAAGGCTGGAAGACAGCTTCCTGGCCAGTGGTATTTGTACCCATTCAAGGAAAGGCGACCCTACAGAATGGGACCACTTATAGAGCAATATCTGATGGTACACACAAATAACAGCTTGTTGGAGATCATTCAGCAGTGGTTGTCGCAGCTCACTGATGGGGCTGTTAGAAGTTCAGGATGTGGAAAGAGGAGCATCATGACTGACGTCAGATGGATCTTGGCTGAAAGCAGAGCCTGTTAGAAAGGTGTTTACTTGTGTTTTATTGACGATGCCAAGGCACTTGACTGTTTGGGTCATAACAGACTATGCTACAAACTATGGTAACCTTGAGACAACTGGGAATTTCAGAACACTTCATCGTGCTTATGGGAATTTGTATACGGATCAGGAGGCAGTTGTGCAAATAGAAAAAGGAATATTACCTGGTTTAAAATCAGGGAATGTGTGTGTCAGGGCTGTATCTTCTCCCCATTCTGAGCAAATAATCAGAGAAACTATTATATGAAGAAGAATGCAGTATTAAGATTGGAGGAGGGCTTATAATAACCTTTGATATTCAGATGACACAACCTTACTTGCTTAAGTGAGAACTTAAAGCATTTGTTGATGAAGATCAAGGTTTGGGGCCTTAAGTATGGATTACAACTTAATGTAAAGAAAACAAAAGTCCTCACGACGGACTGATAGGTAACATGAGACGTGAATGAAGAGCATATTGAAGTTGTCGAGTATTTTGTGTTGTTTGAACCCACAATCAATGCTCAGAGAAGCAGTAGTCGAGATCAAAGGATGCATTGGGTAAATCTGCTGTACAAAACCACTTTAAATTGTTTTAAAAGCACGGATGTTACTTTGAGGACTAAGGTGCCCCTGACCCAACTCATGGCATTTTCATTACTTTGTGTGCCTCTGAAAATTAGACATTGAATAAGGAAGGCTGAAGAATAATGCATGCATATGGATTATGGTGCTGGTGAAGAGTGCTGAAAGTCCCATGGGGTTCCAGAAGAATAAGCAAACCTGTCTTGGAAAAGGTACAGCCAGAATGATCCTTGGAAGCAAGGGTGGCAAGGCTTGGTCTGACATACTTTGGACATGTCAGGAGAGACCCGTTGCTGCTGAAAGACATTATTCTCGGGAAAGTAAAAGGGCAGCATAAAAGGAGGAAGGGCCTCAATGCGATGGATGGACTCAGGCTGCAGCGTGGGCTCCACATAGTAAGTGTACAGATGGCACAGGACCCGGAGATGTTCAGTACTGCCGTTCACAAGGTCGCTCTGAGTCAGAACCAACTCACCAGTGCTTCGCAGCAACACACCGGGAAACTCCACTTTGAGTTGAATCAGGGCTGTGACCTGATTAAGGGTGTTGTGTCCCTCTCTAATCCCCTTGCAGCCGACTGACTGATCACATCAGATCACTCATGCTTTTCTCAAATTTGGTAAGTTCTTAGCTATTCTTCAAATATTGTTTTGTCTCTTTTCCAAAATGTTTATGTTGGCCGTCATCTTGGTGCCCCTTGTGGTCTGTAGTCCTTGTTCATTTTTTTCACGTTTGTTTTCCTGTCTGCTCCTCACAGTGGGTGATTGTGACAATCTCACGCAGGCATCCCTGTGGCTCTGGAGGGTAAATGTTGGGCTGCTGACCAAAAGATCAGTGTTTCCAGCCACCAGCGGCTCTGCAGGAGACAGTGAAGATAGCTGCTCCTCTAAAGCTTTACAGCCTCAGACACCCCACCGGGCAGCACCCCACAGGGCAGCGCTGCAAATCCTCGGGGACAGGGACAAGTCAGTGAGATTAAGGATTTGTTTGGCTTTCTTTTCTTTTTAACATCCTTAAATTTAGTTGCTGAGATTATACTATACCAAGCAAAAACATGTAGCAGTTCTACATTTCCTGCCTTTTTGTAACTGTTGAAAACCCGGTGCCATGCTGGGCATCCCTTCGTTCCCTCCTCTGCATGCGCTCACTGCCCTGCAGTTTCCCTCTGGTCTTTCAAGCTGCTGTGGTCGACTTGGTCTTCTTTCAGTGGATCTTCAGACGCACAATGATTAAGGCAGATGTTTTTTACTAGTTTGGCTAAACTAAATTATTGTTTGGTTTTAATACAACTTTAAGAAGTACTTTTGGTATGAGGTGTGAAAAGATCACAGGCAGTGGCTTCAGGGGTTCTTCCGGCCTCCATGGCTCCAGGGAGTGTGGTTCCAGGGGAGTGTGAAATTCTGTTCTACATCAACCCCCTTTTGACCAGGATTCCCCTATGGAATCTTGACTCAGCACATTCACTAATGGTGACCAGCACTGTCTTCTGGTTCATCTGGCCTTGTGGCACCGAGTGGCAGGTGGGGTGGGGGCTGGGGTTCCTTAAGCAATGTCTCTGCCTTTTTTTTTTTTTTTAATTTCAAATGCATTTTATTTCTTCAGTAATGCCACATGTGGTGCTTTTACTTGAATCAATTTAAAAGTTGATTTTGAAACAATTCAGTATTACACCACCAGCTGATTTGATTTCTAATCTCTCCATTCCTTTGGGGTGACTCTGCCAACAGGGGATAGGTTCCATTGGATTCCAATTTGTGTTGCTGTCTATGTCCATACAGCAATACAGAAAGTAGCTCGACTAGCTAAAATAGCATGACCGTATTTGTCATGGAAATCAGGTGCCCGTTTCTGGTGGCTGTGCCTTGCTTGCTGAATGCTTCCCATTTGAAGACGACTTAGTGCGTTTTTGGCCAAGAGAAGCATCGCGAAGAAGTTCACAGCAGTGCGGCAACTGCGGGCTGCCTCTGAAAGCAATGTCTCTGTCTTTAGGGATAGTCCTCACTTGTCCTCAGGTGGTCCTTCCGATGTTCACCCAGTCCATCCATCCCTTTGAGCAGGTGTTGTGTTTTTGTGCCAGGGAAGCGGCAGATCCACCACCTGGGGAACCAGCTGCAGCTGAACCAACACTGCCTCGACACGGCCTTCAACTTCTTCAAGATGGCTGTGAGCAGGCACCTGACTCGGGGCCGGAAGATGGCCCATGTCATCGCCGCCTGCCTCTACCTGGTCTGCCGGACAGAAGGCACGCCTCATATCCTTCCTGTGTGTGTCTCAGTGGGACCCCCAGGTTCACTCAGAGCGCAGGTTGATGGTAAAGGGACAACTCAGACCTGGGGAACCTTGTCCAGCATGGCTGCCCAGGGTGATCCTTCCAGGACTCAGAGAAGGTGGTCAGCACTTCTCTGACCCTAGAGTACCTAGCCCCCACCCTCCCTTTTCTTCCCACGCTGACATTTGCTCCGCCCTGGCCCCCTACGTCAGTGACTTCCTGTTTTCTGGCCCTGTCCTCTACTCGAGTAGCACCATGCTCGGGGTGGTTGTGGCCGCTGGCGGCTTTGAGTGTTATGACCCCAGGACTGCTGTGTGGGGTGACGAGTGTGTGCCTCAGTCAGTGTCCCTCCATGTCCCAGGCTCTGCCCACATCCAAAGCAGTAACGTAATGAAAATGAAGCCCATTGACCTCAGAGTGATTAAAAAACAGGTAAATCCATTTCTGTCAGTGATTATAATCCACATCGCTCCTGCTGGACAGAGATCTGCCTCACCAGGTGTCAGGGCTGCCATCATTACAGAAACACAGAGCCATGTCCTTCTTCTGGGGAGCCGGTCACTGCTGTCTGTGTACTGGATGGCCAGCGTACGCTGGGTGGGCACGTGTCAAGTGAGCCTGTGCTGGGTGGGCTGTGAGTAATTGGTGGGTGTGTATAACTGGGGTGCCTGTGCTGGGGGTGCTGAGTGTAACTGACTGACCTTGGATACAGGCATCTGCCCACACTGAGTCAAGGTATGGGCGAACCTCTCCTGCTCCATGTCGCTCATGCCAGGGTGCTTGGTGTGCTGGGCGTTTCGAAGACGGTGCCAAGAGCTGAGTGGCATGTGAGCCCCTGTCCGAGCTGCTGAACTGTGCCGGTCAGTCAGATGTTGACTTGGGAAGCCGGTGTCTGTGAGGGGCCCTCCTAGACCGGTGTGTATGTTGTTGTCCCACCCCTACACCTGCCTGCTTACTAGAACTGATTTTCAACATCTCTTAGCCTAAACAGATTCTGGCAGTGACCGAGAGTGTCCTGAACACCCCCTTCTGGGGCTCTCTTGTGTTCACCCCTGTGGACACATGCATGTGAGGGTGGAGTGTTTCTCCACTGTTACTGTGGGCGCCTTCTTCCTCTCCTGGGAGGCTCGTGACCCCTTCGCTGTGTGAGAGCCCACTCTGAGAAAAGAGCACTGGGGAAGTAAATTGTAGTGAGCAGAGAACGTGTGGGGAGGGTCTTCATCCAACACTCAGCCACACGGGTAGTGTACCGGACGGTAGTGTACTGGGCTAGGTGTTGAATCCCAGTTTGGAAGTTTTTCTCCACTGGAACCCAGTGAGTTAGTCTGGGTAGACTAGAGAAACACATCCATAGACACACATATGTGTATAAGGAAGAGGTTTATATACAAGAGCAATTGTACATTTAAGAAACCATTCCAACCCAGTCCAGTCCAGGGCCATAAGTCTGATATTAGCCCATATATCCGATACCCATCTATAAAGTCCTCTTCAGAGTCACGAAACGCATGCAATGAAGCCAAATGCAGGACCATCACAAGCCAGTGGGTAGAAGGTCTTTGGGTCCAGTGGCGTTGTGAGCATCTCAGTGCTGGCAGGGCTCTCTCTCTGGCTTCTCCAACTTCAGAGGTCTGGTCGCATGCATGTGGCTTGTCCTGCTCAGGGTACGAGGGTAGTTCCATGTGTCAGCTGCAATGTTTCCCAGGAAGTGGCAGAGAGAGGGAGGTGTCTCCCACCTCCAAGGAGGAAGTACTGGATTTCCCAGAATTCTCAGGAGAAGGCCATGCCCACACAGAGACCTCATTGGCTGTGATCTGATTGACAGGCCAGACTCCACCTCTACATTCTTAATCCTCAAATTGACAAATGATTATATAACTACCACACCTGGAACGTGGGGGCTTGGAGCTTGGAACCACAGAAATGTGTCCAGTGATAGGGGACAGAAGACAGCCTCCTCCTTCATCCCTTTGACTCTCCTCCCTCCTCACTTGCTTTGTTCCCTTGCCCTGCACTTGGAACTGACCCGCGGGCCTCTTTTCTCTTTGCCATAATTTACCCCTCTGTTCTGGGAGATGCCTGAACTTCTCAGCACGTCTTCACATCCATGCTTCCTGAGAGTGCACCGCCCTTTGGGTGCTCAGCTTGTCGGCTTGCTGCGGGCAGTAGGGGCAGTTTTGTTTTCCCCTTGAGGTCTGTCTCTGAGGCTTGGGGCCTGTCACTGGCATCAGCAGCTCTGTTCAGATGCCGGGTGGTCTAGTAACCAGTTTGAGGTGCCGTTTCTGCAAGGCGTCTGGGAACTCCTGGGGGGAAACCCGAAAACCTTCTGCAGGTATCTGCCAGTGTGAACGAGGCACGTCTCTAGCATGCACTTGTGTGCACTGTGAGGAGCGGCAGTAAGGGCCCAGCTTCTGCCTCCACGGGGGTGCCGTGGGGGGCTTTATCCCTCCCCCAACAGGTGGCTCCTGCCACCTACTGCCATGCCCACCCTCTCCTTGCTCGTCAGTACCCCCAAACAAAACCAGTTGTCTTTGTATCTCGAGCGGCCAGCGCTAGCCTGGTCCTGTGCTGCGTCGCATGGGCCGTCCTCTGGGGTTTCTGTGGAGGGGATGCAAAGCCCTGATGTTACTTGTGGTGCTAAATGCTTCCAGCCAGCAGACCTGAGAGCCCCACTTCCGTACACCCTCGCCCACGCCACACTTTGGTTCTTCTTAAAGAGCCAAACTTGCACCTTCCGTTTAATGTGTGCATGTTACAGTAGGTTGATTTCTTCTTTCCCTGGTTTCTTTCCATCCATTTTCCCCTAGTTTGTTGGCATCTTTTCCCCTTCAGTTTCTTGAGATAGAGGCTCAGGTTCTTGATGTAGTCTGTTTTCAGCTATGCGTTTGAGGCTGGATTTCCAGCTGCGTCGGCGGTATGTAAGTGCCTCCCAGGAGTCTTCATGTGTCACAGCTTTATTGTCATCCAGTTTGAAGTATTTTCTGAGTTCTACTGTCACTCCTCTGAGGTACGGAAGCCATTTAGAAGTGTCTTGTGTATTTGACAATTCATTGGGGATGTTCTGGCATCTGGCATGATTGATCTCTACTGCAGTGCCACTGTGACCCAAGACCACATGCTGCGTGATTGCCATTGCTCCTGGTGAGTTGGGGCGGGATGTCCCCCAAACACCTGGGCACAGCAGGCGTTCTAATTTGGTATTTACTGGGTGCTTGCTTCAGAGGGATGTGTGTCTGCAGTGCTTGGTGGGCAGATTTGTCCTACCAGCCGGTCAGGCTGCTGCATCATGGCCTTCAAGCATCTCCAGGTCTCTGGTCAGCTTGCTCTGGAAGAGGAGTATGGCTGGGTCTCACCATGAATTCAGACTTAACCTACTTTCCCTCCTGCTCTGTTGGATTTTGCATTGTGTTCTGAAGCTGTGCCGCTAGGATACAGATTGTGGGCTGTGTATCTTCCAGTGGGATTGAATCTGGATATACTCTGAAAGGTCCGCTGTGTCCCCGATGCTTTGTCCCTGGGTGTCGGGGGCCTTGGTGCTGGTGAGTCTGCATTGGCTTCCTTCTGCTTGGTGTTTGTATCATCGTCCATCTTGTCTGGGTGCCCTTCTTTAGGAAGATGGCATCTCTGAGTCACTCTTAAGGTGCTTGTGGTTTTCAATTGGAGAATTTCGTCTATTTGCACTTAGTTTGATTTGAGTTTAATGTACTGATATATTTGAGTTTAATTCTACCATCTTGCCATGTTTTCCGTGTGCCTCCCTTTTTTTTGTTCCTTCCCTTCTTTCTTCTAAAATTTTAGAGTAATCAAGAATCTATTTATTGTTAGTTGTCAGCTACCGCAGAGGTAACATTCTCTATCTTTGACTCTCGGGTTTCCAGTCTAGTCCTGCGACACTGCACGTCACTTCCGTGATCATTACTTGGAGCCAGAGCTCTGCAGCTTCCGCAGCATCTGCCCTTACCTGTGTCTTTGGGGATTGGTTCCGTGTGTGTGTGTGTGTGTGTGTGTGTGTGTGTGTGTGTGTCCCCACCAGCAGAGTGCCACTCAGCTCGCGGACATGGGCAGCCAGCTTTGTTCGCTCTTCATCCTGGGTTTGGCGATAAACCGCCATGTCACAGGTTCCCAGACCCATGGCACAGTGGCATCATGCCCACCCACAGGGCTGTGCACCATCACCAATGGGGCTCCTCGCCTCCCTCCCAGCTCTTGGTAAGCTCTGGCCTACTTCCTGTCTCTGTCGGTGCCTTTTTGCCCTGGATGCCTGCCTTGTAGTAATCGTGTCGGCAATATCTGTGGTGGTGTGTCAGACTGTAGTGATTTGGGAAATGATCTAGGTGCAGATATGCCTCCTTTTGTGGTTCCGTCTACTGACTCTGAGACACTCCTTGCTCCAAAGCCTGCAGCGTCTAGGTCCCTTGTCCTTCCAGGGCTGAGACTGCTCCTGGTGTGGTGTTTGTGGCTAGTGAACATAGTGTGGCCATAGTGGGGTGTGTGCTGCCAGGCTGATTCTGGGGGCCCCTGTAGACTAGGACACCGTAGGACAGAGGCAGATCAGAAAGGTCTGATGTCAAGGACCCTGGGTGGCGTGGGGTGGGTAGCATGGCGTCTGCGGTATGTGGTTGCCGTGGGCTAAGGTAGAGTGACTGTTTAGCAGTGTGCTGTCTGTCGTGATGTCAACCTTAATGAAAATACTTGATTCTCATTTCTCTTATAAATATACAGTGAACCCTCGTTTATCGCTGTTAATCGGTTCTAGACCCTACCGTGATAAATGAAATTCCGCGAAGTAGGATTCCTTATTTGTAAATCAAATATTTTCGTAGTTAGAGCATAGAGGACATGAAAAAACACCCTTTAGTCACCATTACACTCGTATTACCCAATTTATTAAACGAAAAAGGGAAAATACAGTAAAACATTTTGGACGTTACAATTATCATTTATTATTTATTATATTATTTATGGCATCTAGTTTACAGTATTACATATTTCACATACAGTATTATTATAAAAAATAGTTCTTACAAATACTGTAATCAATAGCCTATGAAATGACTTAAGGGATGTACTCTACAGGTGGGTCGCCGTCTTTTTCCTCTGAAGGAGCCCGTGTAGGCAGTGGGTGCTGTTACGCAAAAACCGCGATAAAGTGAAGCCGCGGAAGTGGCGAGGGTTCACTGTATGTATAGTTTCCCCTAATATTTTATCCTGAAAATTCTCCAACTCAACAAAGGTGAAAGAATAGGGCAGGAGGCACTATACAGCCAGCCCCCGTCAGTTGTCTGTACCCTGTAACCATGCTCTGACCACCACCAGGCACGCCATTACCCAGGGTGCCCAGTGTTCACGTGTCAGCCCCCATCGGTCATCTGTACCCTGTAACCTTGCTTTGCCCACCAGGCACGCCATTACCCAGGGTGCCCGTTATTCGCGTGTCCCTTGAGCTCCTGTGAGCTTCATGTCCTCATGGTCCTTGAGGCTCAGCTCCCCCATACTCCTAACAGTGGTGCTGAATGCCAAAGTGCTGCTCTATGAAGGCGGGGCACCCTCTTCAGGATCACCTCTTCAAGACCACCTCCCTCCCCGCCCCCCCTCAGTCTTCTTGTGGGAAAGCGGGGGTGGGCACATGGGAGAGGTTCTGGCCAGCCTGGCACTGCTGCCTCACTCTCAGTCCACCGTGACCAGACACTGGACTTGCATAGCCTGAGGCTCTGCAGCTGGGCACACCTCGGCACTGTTGCCACCTGCCCTGCTGCTGCTCCTTGACTCCTGTGCAGACATGCTTCTGGACCTCAGCGACCTGCTCCAGGTAGGCCTGGCTTCTTTTTTCAGGTGCAAGCATGGACCACCAGAGCTGGAGCTCAGGGACAGACACTGCACAATGGGCACCAGCTGCCCTCCTGGGGCTCGCTGGCCCAGGTGAAGGCCAGTGCTCTGAGCAGACTGCAGAGGCAGCCATGCTGCACCCTGGCCAGGACCCCGCAGCTGTCCCAGTTCACTCTTACCCTCGGCACTTGGGAATCTTTCAGAGGAACAAATGGATCCATAGGCGTGTAACAGACTATATGACTTTCACTTATACTCTGGAAATGTATTTTCTGGAGAACGGGTCCTTCTGTGGACTTTTGCCCCCTAACTGAGCACAGTGGAGCCTGAGGGGCAGAAATATGGTGGCCAGATACCCGAGCCACTCCAGGAACTGCTGCCTTGGCCAGGTGCACCCTCAGGGATTGTGTGGGGGGGGTGCATGGGGTGCCGGACCTGTGGGGACAACTCAGCACACACATGAAGGTGCGTCAGGGCCCTGGGATTCGGACCCGTAGAGGACTCGGTCAAGACCTGCTTGAGGGACCAGTGGCCGCATCTCTTCCAGAAGCGGCGGGTATAGCTTGAGTTTTGTTATCGATTGTCTGTGTAACTGGCATCTCTCTGAAGCGCTTACTCACAAAATACTTTTTAACAAGCGCTTCAGAGAGATACAGGACCCCAAGAGATTGGGAGACACTGTGTCTAGGGTGGGCAGCTTCATAGGCAAGGCAAGAACAGGCTGGGGACAAGACATCAGTTTCTGGAGGGAGGGGTTTACCTGCTGTCCTGGAGAGAAGTGGGCAGAGCTAAAGGCACAGTCCAGCTGGCCTCAAAGAGGCAGGCTGCTGGCTGGCCCATGAGCCACCTCTTGGTATGTGTTACCACCTCCAGCCTTGGGTCACTGTGGTTCCCACTGGGGTCTGCTCATTGAACCCCGGTTCCAGCCTCCAGGTGCTCGCTCTCAGGGCTGTTCTGCCCCGGACTCCTGGAGGAAACTTTGATGGTGTTGGGCAGGCCAGGGCTGCCACGTCCCAGAGGGCAGAGGGCAGCAGCTGAGTGTTGATGTTCAAATCCAAATGGAAAGCTCAGCTAGGATGGCCAGGACCCAGGGCCTGGTGAAGGGCTGCACAAGAGCTGTGTTACCAGCATAGGAGAACACGTGCACACGCACACGCACCAGGGCTTCCAACCGATTCCGCCTGGTCCAGTCATGGCTGAGGCAAAACTGCAGCAGACCTGGATTTGTAAGGAGGGCGAACTAGGGCAACCGCTTTGTGGGAGTGACTGTGAGTCTGAGGCCCTGCTAGAAGCATGCAACCGCCCAGCAGCTCCTCAGGAAACAGTGCTGCTTCCTGTGGATAAAGGTCCACTCTGCCCACTGCTACGTTATGAGCTTCCTAGAAAAGAGGTCTGCTCTGCCCACTGAATGCTGTGAGCTGTCTGTGGAGGAAGTCCACTCTGTTGACCGTCACACTGTGAGCTTCCGGTGATGTCTGTTCTGTCTCGTGAACACTGAAGTAGAATCCATGTAATGGCAGTGGGGTTGCTTTTGAGGCTTCCGTTCCAATGTAGCTGCCACAGCCATAACTGAACCAGTTCAAACCAGTTTGAAGCCTGGCACATGCACTCGTGTTCACATGTAAACCTGGTGTGTGTGCACCATCCATTCTATCAGGCAGGCTCAAGGGGCTTGGTCCTGTGGGAGGGGCTGGTGGATGCCACTGAGTCAGAGACCAGATTCCACAGTCTGGGGCTGCCCTGGACAGAGGGCCTTCTGGACTTGGACCCCCAGGGAAGGTCATGGAGGAGGCAAGTGCTGAGTGCAGCAAGTGACCCATGAGGATGGACAGTGGCTCATGGGGTAGCAACAAAGGCAGAGCAGGTTAGGCAGGTGAGTGTACTGTGGCTCCAGGTCCCTTACGGTGCCTGTCATCTGAGTGTGTGGCCATCGGGAGGCTGAGGGTGGAGGACTTGTAGAGGACGTGAGCAGTTCAACTGTCCTGCCCAGCTGCGCTCAGGGCGTGGGGTTTGTTCAAGGCTGAGCAATCGAATGCGTATTACTGGAAAGATGAGACCATTCCCTTAAGCACACACATCATTGTTGGTAATTCCGTCTCCCTGCCAGGTCAATGTGTACGTGCTGGGGAAGACATTTCTCCTGCTGGCCAGAGAGCTCTGCATCAACGCGCCTGCCATAGGTACGTGCTGGGGCTGCTCGGGTGGGTGACCCCTGGGCTGGGCATCCCTGTGCCAGCTATAGGTATGTGTTGGGGCTACTGAGGGCCAAGTGGGAGGGTAAGTCTCCTGGAAGGACAGACAGTAAGACAGTGGCAGTTAGGGTGCAGAATGGGACACCACATGGTGGGTGGATGTGTCAAGCAGGCACAGTGGCTAAGTGCAGGAGTGGGTGGGCCGCTCCCACAGGGCTGCTCCAGGGCCACGGCAGAGCTGGCCTTTACTCCCCAGGAAGAAGCTGCCTAGGGGGACTCTTCTGTACTGACCTGGGTGCAGAGTTCTACTCACCAGAACCGGTGATGGGCAGGTAGATGGCCAGCAGAAGGGCAGGTTGACATGACCCCTGTGGGGGACAGTATAGGGACTCTGAGCTGAGGGTCTACTTATTGGCCTAGTTCTCTTTCCCAAGGTCATGTCCCTTCCTTGGGCTAAGCAGAGGCTTTCCAGAACCCTTGTCCTTGGGGATCCAGGGTGGAGGGGGCAAGCTATTAGATACCCCTGCTCTGAGGTGGATCCTATGAGCCTGTGACCCTGATTCCACTCCTACAGGGGCTGTTCTGAGTTGCCAAAACCCATACATAGCCCTCCTACAGGGGACTGGTCTGAGTCCTATGATGCTGAAGGAAGCAGTTTTGCCATTCCCAGTGTGTGGACATAGACCCAGCCCCCTGCTGGTAGCCTGTGGACAGTGGATGAGGTGGGGACAGCTGGCCTCCTGGGATGCACTCAATGGAGGGTGGGGTATGCTGTTTCTAGTGGAGGTGGAGGGTAGTTGGCAGATGTGAGAACCTGGCCACCTGGGTCAGGGTCCCCCAGTCATTTCTCTACACGTGGCTGTCGTTTTATTAGAACTTTATTATGAAAACCACTTAAATAGATGAACGGATTTAAGTGACTCCCCTAAACTTAGAAACTACCTAAAATCCAAGACATTGGGGGCATAACCAGTGCCTCAGAGCAGGCCTGTAGATGCTACTTGGAGGATGCCAGGGCCTGCCTTGCCCCCCAAAGGCTACCCTCTGCCTGCAACAAATACCCCAGTGGACAGCAGATACCGGTGAGGCCTCGAAACAAACAAGGCTCTGGCCGTGTGGACAAACTTTCTATTTCACAGCTGCCTACATACGAGATACAAAGTAGGTGAAGCCTCCTTTTAAGGTCACTGTGGGCGGCCAATTGAGGGCCAATATGTGGTATGCCACGCCAGTGCCTCAGGCATAGAAAATGAGCTCTGGGATCTGCCCGCCCTGCACACCCGTCCCATTGGTGCTGTCGGATGAGCACTGGAACTGGAACGTCACTTTCCCACACTGCACCTCCGTCATGCCCTCCTGCCCAAAGTAGCTGAGCTCACTGCCGTCCAGGACTGCACTGGCCGTGTAGAAGGTGTCCTGCTCCACCTGGACTGGGTGCTCAAACCAGACGGGGAAGGTGTTGCTGGAGCCGTCGGAGACAAACTTGGTCAGGCTCTGTGCCAGCACAACGCCCAGCCGCTTCAGTTCGATTTTCACACTGTACTCGGCTTTTCCTGAGCTGGAGCCATACAGCCCCAGCCCCGCCACAAAAACTCTCCTGTCTACTGCAAACTGGATGCTGTCGCACCGTCCCCGGTACCGCCACTGGTTGCTGCGGTAGGCTGAGGACTGGAAGCGGTGGCACCTCTGGGGGACGAGGCCCTTCCTCTTGGTCAGCGGGAATTCGAGGGGGGGCTTCTTGGCAGCCGTGTACCACAGGAAAATGTTGTGGGTCTCTTCCAGGGTCAGGATGTCTGACTGGGCTGCACCATCAGCAAACTCCTCCAGGGTCATGGTGGGGATGCGCACCAGGTAGAGTGCTCGCCCCAACACGTGCCTCTTGTTCTGTGGGGTGATTGGCAGGCCTTGCCTCTTGCACTCAGCCTCGGCCCAGCTCAGCACGGCCTCGAAGACCACAGCCTCCTTGGTGTTGAGGGCCTCTCGAGTCACAATGATCTCCAGAGTCTGCCGGTCGATCTCACAGAAGCCCTCTGACCGCAGCGCCATCTCAGCCTGGGCATCGATGACCTCCCAGCAGCGCTGGCTTAGCTCAGGTTCCTCAAAGAGCCGGCTCTGGGAGAGCAGGACACAGGCATTCTTTGCTTCTAAGCTGGTCTCCAGAAAGTGGACACAGGCTTTGGCCAGGGCGGGGACGATGTACTTCTTGGCAGCATAGAGGGTGGCCAGCACAGTGTCGGCTTCCAAGTCAATCTCGTCGCTGTACATGTACCTAGGCAAAGAAGGGCCTGAGTGAGGCTGGGGTGGGTGTCCCCAGGGGCCGGGGCTGGCACCCAGTTATCTTGGAACCCCAGACTACGCTGTGGTCGGCTGGCTTACTTCAACAGGATGAGGAACGCCGCCGGCTCCACATCAGGAATGTGAATCTCAGCTTTGACTTCTGCGAGGTCCCCGTAGAACATGGCATAGAAGACAGAGCTGCCCACAGCCAGGACGTACTGTGGGCGGGAGCCAGGGGCAGTGAACTTGGCGCTCAGGGGTGGGAGCAGGGGCAGGATGGATGGGTGGGGCTGTGCCCAGCAGGGCCCACGGCGGGGGTGGTGGTGGCAGAACCCCGCTACCCACCTTGTGGGCGGGCACCCTCCTGGCCGCGTCCAGGGGGCCCACGATGAAGTGGACATCGGCCATGAGCTCGTTGTTGAACATCAGTGCGTTCCTGCAAAGGGTGGACATTGGGCTAGGGCGTGCACGCGGCCGGGGCGTAGGGGGGCCCGCGGGGCGCGGGCGCAGGCTCACCTCTCGCGCAGCGTCGGGTGGAAGGACTGCCAGTTGGGGCTGTCTACGTTGTTGTCGAGGGCGGGCGGCGCGGGCGCAGGCGGTGACGGCGGCGG